CTGGCGTTAGCCAGACGAACCGACTGGTTAGCGATGAGACAGTGCTTACCAGAATTGCTTAATATCCACTCTGTAGGGGTTCGAGAAGTAGTGCCACATGAGTCCATTTCAAAAGTAAATGTTGTGATCACTCACGTTGAAGTAACTTTACGGAATTGGTGGGCGCAAAACTCTAATCAGGCATTCCGACCTTCATACAAGAAGGAGGAAAGCCCGGCGTTAGCCGGGGGGCACCACCGCTCCGATGGCGTTCACGGCGGGCACCACCGCCCCGGTGTCGTCCACTGCGGGCGCCACCTCTCCGATGCCGTTCAAGGCGAGCATCACCTCTCCGATGCCGTAAACGGTGGGCACCACCTCTCCGATGCCGTTCACAGCGAGCACCACCGCTCCGATGGCGTTCACGGCGGGCACCACCGCCCCGGTGTCGCCCACTGCGGGCACCACCTCTCCGATGCCGTTCACAGCGAGCATCACCTCTCCGATGCCGTTCAAGGCGAGCATCACCTCTCCGATGCTGTCCACGGTGGGCACCACCTCTCCGATGCCGTTCACAGCGAGCACCACCGCTTCGATGGCGTTCACGGCGGGCACCACCGCCCCGGTGTCGTCCACTGCGGGCAAAACCACCCGGTGTCGGTGAATGTTGTGATCATTCACGTTGAAGTAATTGTACGGAATTGGTGGGCGCGAAACTCTAATAGGGCATTCCGACTTTCACACAAGAAGGAGGAAAGCCCGGCGTTAGCCGGGCGGTCCAACTGGTTCATGGTAGATTTACGGTATAACTATTGAGATCTTCAGATTTTGCCCATAGCGAGCCTGGCTTTCACACAAGAAGGAGGAAAGTCCGGCGTTAGCCGGGCGGTCCAACTGGTTTTGAGAAAAGCGGCGAGTGATCGTTCAAAAAAGATGGTTCATGGTAGATTTACGGTATAACTATTGAGATCTTCAGATTTTGCCCATAGCGAGCCTGGCTGGCGTCATCAGGGTTGGTACCGATAGCCGTGGCCTATACGCTGCCAATAACCAAGTGATGTCATAGTTGTGAAAACCTTCCGACTCTGCCCATAACACGCATGGCATCGTAATGGTCGACAATATGTCGCGGCCCGAAACCATTACTAGACCGTTCTTCTTCACATCTTTCTATGGCCATCATCAGCCCACATTGCCCACAATGAAAGTTCAGATAACGACAATGCAACTGGTACAACTTACCTATGCACGTAACAAGAACGACTGCGTCGGTTTTGAAGTGTGTGAAGCGCAAATCATGAACAGATGACGTAGTCAAGTCGATATCCAGCGATCGTGGAGTCAATGTCGAGGATGCATCGGCCGGCTTCAATTGTTCAAATAGTAACTACAGAATATATTTGAATAATTATATCACGTACCGAAATTGTATATTTTGCTGGAGGAACCATTTTACAGAATTTTCCATCAGCGTCAGGTCGAATAGAAACAGTATCCGCGTTGTCGACACGTTTCAATACCAGAGGTGCAGATATCGCCTCACTGGCCTTCTTCTCTACGCTACCGCAAACATCGAAACTGAAAATGTTGAAGAATCACTGAAAACGCTGTAAGAGATCTATCTTGGCTGTCTGGTAGCCCTTTATATCTAATCCAAACATTTTTGTTTATTTCCCGTTCTATTTGTCCAACTGGTCACTGAGAAAATGCTATTTCCCCAGGCCTTTACCGCTTTATTTCCGTCCTGCCGTCAATGGTGCAACTTGAGCGTATAATAAGTAGAGAACAAGTAATCTTTACTAAACTTATGTGGAAGTATAGCGTAACTTAGAGAATAGAGGTTGAAAGCTTGGCTACAAACGAACTAACATTAATACCCACCCTTCAACGGTTACATCCCGAATACTGACATTTGGAAGCGTTAGTGTACTCTTTTCAATGCTGAATTTCGTGTGAGGTGCACCCGCTGTGATTTCAATAGGTCCTTCCTGGAAAATTAAGAAGTTAGAGAAAAAACTATTTC